CCATTCTCATATGATCCCTTCTCTCTCTATATATATATATATATCACTATATAAATATATTAGCGTTAGATATATATATAGAGTTAGGATCATATGAGAATAGTGTTCTAGGAAACAAATGAGAATAAATATAGATCATGGGATTAATCTTATCAATGGTTATGATGAAATCAAACTATGGTCAATCATTAATGGCAATTTAGTAATTAATTGATTATATTGTGGTCAAATATGTGCATTGACCAATAATTAATGGGTAGTTTGGACATTTTATTCAAATTCAATAATTTGTGGGACCCACCACTTCATCATTAACATCACTATAATTACCCATCCACTTCACCTACCCCCTACCCCACACTCATCGTCTTCAACAAGCACGCACACAAACACGCACCCACACACACACACATTACACGACACACACCCACTGTTCATGCACCGGACCACCAGCGAGCCACCGCCTCGCCGCCGCACCAGCAGCCGACTCGCCACTCGACATCGCTGACCGCCGCCGAGCACAGCCACACCATTCAACAGCCATCTTCCGCCTACCGCCGCCGACCGCCAACTGTGCCACCGACTTAACAATACTGTCACCACAGTTCTCCACCGCCGCCATCCACTACCGTCCCCACCACCGCCACCAAAAACTCGCTGGAGTTTCAACATAGATCTCGCCATTGCCGACCTCCACCGTCTGCCACCCTATCTCCGCCGCCGTCGTTGTATGTCACAAGGTACGACTCCAGAATCCCGTATGAAATTGGTAATCTATCGAGACTCGAGACGGGGCAACGGAGGAAATAGAATTCCAATGGATTCGTTGATACAGAGCCGGCGGCCAGCAGTTCAATATGTCGACGAGACAGATGAGGTCGCAGCTGGATCTGGGGTCGGATTCTGGTTAGCCGAGGCGGCGGCGATGCGATAACCTGCACGGTGTTTGGTGGCGGGGCTGATAGACGATTAGAAGAGGGTGCGAGATTTATGTTCTCTGTGTAGCTGATTTGGGGTGGGGCTGGGCTGCATTTGTAATTAGATGAGATTTGGGCTGAATAATTGAGATTTAGATAATTCCTAGGGAATCATATATAAATTAATAGAAATTATTTATATGTCAATTTAGTTCATGGGGTTGAATTTTTAATTTATTAAAAATTTAAAAATGCACAAGATTAGTAAGTTAATTACATACTATTAATAAGTGAACCAAATCGATTGAACTTTTGTTTCAAATCAAAATAAATCGAACCAAAATATATAAACTAAAACTAAAAATTATGTTTATTTACATAATTCGATCGGTTTGGTCGGTTGATTGTTGTGCATTTTATAGTCATTAAGGTGCAATTTGTCTAACACTATTGTGCACGGTTTTCTGATGTTATTATGCATTGTGAATCGATCGAAGTTTTGTCTCACACCAAATTAAAAATTAACTGAATTACTTGTTTTATTTATTTATTTTTCCAACGGCCAAATGGTTATCAGGCGGTTAATGTGGTGACATACGTGTCTTGGGGACAGCGGGAACAAATGTATGATAATTTTTATTTAAAAAGTAATTGATATGACATAGGGACCTAAGTGCAATTTAATTCTGTCGCTATCGTTTAATATTGTGCAACCTGATGATCATTAGTGTGCAATTCGTATAACCATGTGTATACACGATACATCAAAAAATAAAAAAATAAATAATAATAATATTAATAACGATAAATTCACATCGATATTGCATAATGTGCAACCTGTTAGTCATTAATGTGCATTTCGCCTAACACAATTGTGCAATCACAGTGCATGCATTTTTATGATCTTGTCCCAAATTAAAATAAAGTTGAACAAAATTGTTAGTTTATTTGATCGGTTAACTTAATTAACATAAACAATCAAAATAATATAAATACTATATTAAAAAATATATATTGAGTAGTTTGATGTTCTGGTTAATATTGTTATATAAAACACGGACCCAAAAACTTAGTCCGGTCGGCTTCAGTCGCTATGGTGCAATATGATATTCATTAGTGTGCAATCGCCTAACACAATTG